TAGTGAGTGATCCCGGGGGATAAAAGGCAGATATAAGAATGAGGACCCATTCTGGTGCAACCATTGCGCAGGCTGGCAGAAAGCAATCTTCGGATCTTTTACCGAGTCACCAAATAAGAAATCTGGCTTCCTTATGCATTGATTCGAGTCTTGCTCCGAGATCAAGGGCGCATCTGTGATTAATCGTCGTAGAACACGACAACTACCTCGCTGGATTAATTCTCTATCACTTCCACTATAATCAGATTTAAACTGGGGAGAGGATTCAATTAACGGGATCCCCTCGTAATAAGAGTGGGTCACGCTACTCCGGCCAGTAATCACATCAGCAGTAAATGTGGTAGAAGGAAATCGGACTGATAAAAGAGGCATACACATAAATTGTGTAAGTGTCATCCTAAAATTTTAGAGAAAAACGGTATATCTCATTCTATAAGATATAGTCGTTATCTCATAACAGGTGTGACGATTTTCTATCCACCATATGTATAAAGGAGGTATGCGGGCATTATAACGGCATACCAAAACCTTTCAATACATATGGGATGATGTAAAATCGCCCCTGTGTATTATGAAGTGTGTTTTGTCAAAGCAAAACAAACACTTTTAAGCGTCGATCCCCTCAAAGGAGGATACCGGCTCTTCTCGAAGGTACCTCAAAGGATACAAACGAGGATCTGCAAGCAAAAATAGGAACATACATATGGAATGGACGAAATACAATATTTAAATTCGTGAAAAGGTGAAAGAAATATACCTCCACGTGAGGGTGCAGCAGGGGCAGCCTCCTCAGGGCTCTGAACAGTCGGTCGGATTCCCTTCCCTCGAGCTCTACGTGGCGACATGATGAGTATGTGATCTACATTGAAATCCAAGAGGAAGGTTAAGATTTTGAACATGAAATCGACAAAAAATAGGACAAATACAACCGAAATGATGCATGCACAGTCACAGTTGAAGGAGAGTCAAAATTTTGGAGAAAAGGGGAAGAACAAACCTTTGAAATCTGAGTGAAATCTTCCCAAACAAGAGCACCTCCCAAGTCGGCAACAAAGAGGAGAAGAAATAGAAGAAAACTGGTCGAAAATCGCCCAAGAATCGCCCAAAAAATCGCCAAAATCCGACGTAAAAAACCCTAAAACCCTAAGTCCCGACTTATATAGCAGCCGGGCGAGACAGGAAACTCTGTCTCGCTGAGCGAGACAGACAACTCTGTCTCGCCGAGCGAGACAGAAAACACTGTCTCGCCCAGCGAGACAGAAAACTCTGTCTCGCCGAGCGAGACAGTAAACTTTTCTGTTTTGCACTATGGAACAGTGGAATACTCCAATGGGTACACGAGTCTAAACTGTATTCCCACCCTCAACAGGAAGTTTCTGGAGAATATTAATCTGAATATTCTTAAGGATAACCTGAGGAATTCTCAATGGATATACCAATTCAATGGTAAACGCTGAATTCACAAGAGCAAGTATCAACTTCAATTCAAGATCTCGACAACGGTCAAGCGATAAACGCGACGCCGGGAGAACGTTAGCTATTCTACGAAGAACTGGATAGACTAACAGCAGAAGAGGTTAAACATTGAAGCCATTTACAAGTCCTTTCATACGATCTATTCAGCCAAGCATTGAAGGGATCGTAAGTAAAATCTATCTTATCCAAAGTATCCCATGCTCCTCTATAAAAGAATGAGTCTGGAATACTTTGGAGGGGGTATCTGTAGGCGTCAAAAAATGCTAATAGATATCCCAAGCATAGAGAAGATCACTCAAAAATTCACAAGAAAGGATTTCATACTGTTTTGGAAAAATCAAAACAAGTATGAACTGTCTCGCCAGCGAGACAGTCTTTGCTGTCTCGCCAGCGAGACAGTCTTTGCTGTCTCGCCAGCGAGACAGTGTTGAAATAGTCAAAACTACATTTGTAACTGCCCTACACGTGTCCATTAACTGCCAAGGGACGTGGGAAACATCATGGGCGAAAATCACGTGGATAACTGCCAAAATAACGGAGTTTGAAACGTGAGAGAACAGTTACAGCGAGAAACTGCCATTTTCCGAGACAGCATTTACTGTCTCGCTGAGCGAGACAGCAAATTTACTGTCTCGCGGGTCGAGACAGCAAACGCTGTCTCGCCCAGCGAGACAGTAAACACTGTCTCGCCGTACTGACTTCTTCGATTGTTAAGTTTTTGCAGTTACTGACCCTTGAGGCTATAAATACCCCCCTAGGGTCACTTCTGACGAGGATCGAGCATTTGTTAGAGCATTCCAGAGCAGAGAGAGCAGAGATTTGAGTTCTTTTCTTGCAACGCCTTGAAATTAAGCTTCGACTTGATTTTAAGAAGAACGACTATCTTACTTCGATAAGATATCGTTTCAATTTCTACTTCGATAACGAAGTTAGAATCATAAGCCCCCTCTTCACGATCTGTGAATCGGCGGTCCACGAACCAAAGCGTTCCCGGCACAGGCAAAGTCCCACTAAAACGAGAATTGATAGACGATTTTCGTGTTTGTTTCTCAAGAGTTGTAATTTTTGTTTTGTTGTGTAGAAAAAGTCTTATAAAAAGATTATTCTTTCGAATTTGTTGTAATCAAACAAAGTTATAATGAATTCCTCAACAGAACCGACTTTTGACTCAAACAAGCTGGCGACCACAGTGGGAGCCAGCGGTCTCGCTGCCGAGACCGCGGTGTCGCAACCGATCAAGATCATCATCAATGAAGAGATCGAATACGAATTCGATCAGGCGAAGTTTGAGGAGTATTTATCATCCTCATCCGCGAAATCTTCCTCGTCTCGCAAATATAGGAAGATTTCGAAAACTTTCAAGTCTGCAATGCCCAAAGAGGCCGCAGGTGAAGGTTCCTACTCAATTGCTGCTAAGGAACCCATCTGCAACATACCTGCTCCAAACGACTCCATATCCCTTAAGGAGTCGATGATTAATAGCTCACCGGTGCTGACGAAAAGAGCTCGTCAGAGACAGCGTCAGCGCCGTGCTCGACAATTGGCTAAGGCCATGCAACAAACCGACGGGGTCCATTATTATGCGGACCTAGAGTCGAGGAGGCAGAAAATGATTCAATTGCCTCAACGGCAAGATAATCATATTTCTGCCCAACTTATGACGGAGGAATGGACTCTCGTCAAAAGGGCTCGTTCAACCCTTAAAGAACGGATACAAAGGCGTAAGGCGAAGGCTGCCCAAACTCGCGCTCTTCGTCAACAAGCGCAAGGAACCAAGAAAGAGACAGTGTCTGAAAAGTCACCGAAGAATCGTAAAGTCTGGATGCCAAAGACGCCACAAGCATCTGTTCCGGGCCCGTCTACTGCAACACCAGTAGAACCCTGGGTTAGCCCAGATTTGTCTAAGTTCAAGATAACAATGGCAGATCGCCTTGGTCCTTCAGTTGATGATCGAGGCAAAGCCCCAGTCAAGGAACAACCATGTTCGGCAAATAAACCATTAATGGTTTCATATGCAGGGGGTCGTAAACACCCTCCTGTCAGAACTGCACAAGTCCAAAACGAGAGAATACCAGTTCACTCTCGTTTAGGACCTCTGAAAACTCCACACCCGCAAGGGGGTGGATTTAAACATTCAACTTTGGATCGCTGATCGCCTTGGTCCTTCAGTTGATGATCGAGGCAAAGCCCCAGTCAAGGAACAACCATGTCCGGCAAATAAACCATTAATGGTTTCATATGCAGGGGGTCGTAAACACCCTCCTGTCAGAACTGCACAAGTCCAAAACGAGAGAATACCAGTTCACTCTCGCTTAGGACCTCTGAAAACTCCACACCCGCAAGGGGGTGGATTTAAACATTCAACTTTGGATCGCTCAGAGGCGACGACCGGTCATCCTGTGCATGTTAACAAAGTTCAAAAGCAAAAGATAGGTTGCTCGAGTCACAATAATGATGAGCTGTACTATCAGAAAGATAACTCAAGAAAGAGAGTTGTCAGAGAAAATGAGTC